CCGGCGCACAGAGTCTCGTTGCCAATTCCCTTCGGCCAATTCCAGGGGTACTGAGGGAGGGTCGAGTAGCTCTGGTCGCAGCGGGAGGGGGCGAACGCCGTCAGGGACACCTCTTGCAGCACTGTGCTTCCGGAGCCATATACATACATACATGGGTGGGTGCTTCATGCTCGGGGTGATGTGAAGCGATGGTGTGGTAGCCTAGGTAGTGTTAAGTGCTTGCATGCCTTCTCGCTTACAGCTGCCACCGCTGGCTAGCCTGGTGCGAAAAGGGAGCAGCTTTGCATAAGACTCCCCTGCTAGCCCATAGTCTCTCCATCATCAAGACTTCTGCAGTGCCTCCTCGTGGCCACCCATGGAAACTAGGTACCTTGCGGTCCTAGGCTGAACTTTGGAGGCTCTTGGAGCAGCAGGAGGCCCTAAAGGTACGGAGTCATGGCCCACCGGCGTGTGGACACGCCCTGGCTCCATACCAACTCCTGCCCCCATGCTCCCTGGGGTTAATGGGCGGCAGTGGGGAGGCAGGCCTTGCCAGTCTGACCCCGAGACATTCTACTGGCAACGAATCATATAGGCGTTGGTGCTGGGGGGAGGGCTAAAGCCCCTCCCACCCAGCAAGAATGGCAGGCTGTGGGTCCCTCTGGGTTGGCGACCACTGAAACTCGGGTGGGGGGGGTACCCATCATCCCATCTGGGTCCCAGTGGCCGCCAGCCTGGCGTGATGCTTGTGGGGGAAAGCCCCCGGTAGCCCTGCAGGCGGATTATGGGACCTGCAGCCAGCCAACCTCTGTATGGGGCGGCGTTGGTAGGGGTGGCAGAGGTGGCGCTCACCCGGAGTAACTACCAGAGGTTAAACCTCAGGCGGGCTGTCAGGGTAGGGGCTTGGAACGTCCGTTCCCTGCGACAGGACGATCGGTTACCACTACTGTCGAGGGAATTGAAGCAGCTGAGAGTTGAGGTGGTTGCTCTCTCGGCACTCGAGGGCCTGACAGACCTTGTTGTTATGTGGGATTCCTTCAAGTGTGAAACGCTTGATGCAGCTCAGGAATCCATTGGTGTACGCCCAAGAGCAAGACAGAATTCCATCTTGCAGGAGACACTGGAAGCCACAGAAGCTTGTCGTGCGGCTCGATTGTCAGAGGATCGCAATTTGCACCGATCTCTGGCGCGCAGGACTAGGTCACTGTTGAGAAGGGATAAGGAACAGTTTATCAGTAATCTTGCAGAGGAGGTTGAAAGCCATTTCCTAGTAAATGACCTTCGTCCTGCCTACCCTACCCTGATCTGAGAAAGCTGAACTCCAAGCCCTCCTCACAGACGACGGTAGTTCGCTCAGCAAGTGGCCAGGTAATCTCAGATCCTGATGGGGTGCGTGTGCGTTGGGCTGAGTATTTTGAGCAGCTGTATCAGGTTGATCCACCAACAGTTAACTTGGATGCTGGTAATGTTGAGACTCCTCTGCCAGACCCACCCATCAGCGAGGATCCACCCACCCTGACTAAAGTCAAGGGGGCGATCTCCAAGCTGAAGAGTGGTAAAGCAGCAGGTGTCTGTGGCATCCCAGCTGAATTGTTAAAGGCTGGTGGAGAACCTATGGCAAGGGGCTTGCATGCAGTCCTGTCTGCCATCTGGCAGACCGGTACCATTCCCCCCGACCTGCTGAGGGGTGTGGTCATCCCTCTCTGGAAGGGGAAAGGGGATCGGTGGGACTGCAGCAATCACCGAGGCATTACACTGCTCAGTGTACCAGGCAAGGTACTTGCCCACATTTTACTGAGACATATCAGAGACCACCTCCTGAGGCACCAAAGACCGGAGCAATCTGGGTTCACTCCTGGTAAGTCCACAATAGACTGCATCCTGGCGCTTAGAGTCATTGTAGAGCGCCGTCATGAGTTCGGACGTGGGCTGCTCGCAGCCTACATCGACCTCAAGAAGGCGTTTGATACGGTCCATCGCGAATCACTCTGGGAGATCCTGAGACTGAGAGGAATTCCAACAAGGATTGTTGGACTAATAGCAAACCTGTATACAGGCACTGAAAGTGCTGTAAAGTGTGGTGGGGGCCTGTCGAGCTTATTTCCTGTTAGCTCAGGTGTGAGGCAAGGCTGTGTTCTTGCACCAACACTTTTCAACACTTGCATGGATTGGATACTGGGTAGAGCTACTGTCCAAAGCCACTGTGGAGCAACTCTGGGCAATATCAAGGTTACAGACCTTGACTTTGCTGATGTTGCCATTCTTTCTGACTCTCTGGAAACCCTAGTGGCGGCTCTTGATGCATTTAACAACGAAGTGAAGCCCCTGGAGCTAGAGGTCTCCTGGACCAAGACCAAGATCCAGGATTTTGGGGGCCTACTAGGAGACCCTGTCCAGTCGGTACGTGCTTGCGGTGAAAACATCGAAGTCACAAGGAGCTTTATATACCTCGGTAGTCCAGTTCATGACTGGGCTGTCAGACCAGGAAGTCAGCAGACAGAGTGGCCTGGCAGCAGGGGTCATGAAATCTCTCGACAAGAGTATTTGGAGATGCCAGAACCTGTGCAGAAAGACCAAGGTTTGTGTCTTCACTACCAGATACTGCCAGTTTTAATATATAACAGTGAAACCTGAACGCTATCTTGTGCTTTGAAATCTCGTCTTGATGCCTTTTGTAACAGACCCTTGAGCCGGATCATGGGGTACAGTTGGCGGGACCATGTATCCAATCATGAGACCGGTACAGGACCTGTTACTTACACAATCCGCGATCGCCATTCAGGCTATACGGCCTAATGCCCCTGCCCACCAGGTTGTCTCTGTGCGTGCGTGCCCGTGTGTGTGTGTGTGGATAACCGGTCTATGCCGTTTCTTTGAATCCATTAGCTGCGTGGAGCATCGGCATCAGCTTGCTCCTCACATATTTTCGCCCAGGCATTGATCGACACGGGAGTGTAAGTATACATATACATACATACGCACATATATATATATATATATATATATATATATATATATGTAAATATGTATATATATATATATATATTCATACACACACACACACACACAAATATATATGTACACGCACGCACACACACACACACACACTATAATGGTCTCTAATTCAATTATATAGAAATCCACTATATTATCTGGAGGTCCAGAGGAAAACTCAGTATCTGTTAACACACTTTATTGTTAAGCAGACACATAGTAACGGAGATATAGATTGGTAGACGTGGACGTGGCAGATAGGGCGTCGTCGGCTTCCTATGGGATATGAGATTCAAGGAACATCTGGACCTGACCTGACCCAACAGGATGCAGGTAGGCGGCCCCCTGGGCAGGGGCAAGGGAAATATGACCCTCAGCTGCAGAGAGAGGTCAGCCCCAGGCCCTGGGGGCCCGCTGCCGGCGACTACGCCCTGGGCAGGCAAAGGGAGGAATGACCCAGTGTCTCCAGGAACAGGCAGAACGAGTCTAGGCCTCATACAAGCAACACCTTCCCTTCTTGCCTCCCATAGGAAGCTGACGATGCCCTATCTGCCACGTCCACGTCTACCAATCTATATCTCCATTACTATGTGTCTGCTTAACAATAAAGTGTGTTAACAGATACTAAGTTTTCTTCTGGACCTCCAGATAATATAGTGGATTTCTATATAATTGAATTAGAGACCATTATAGCTGGTGTTCAGGGTGGTAGAACTCACGTTCCTGCCTCCGCTCAAGATCGTCGTCGGCAACTTCTACAGGACCGAGTGAATACACAAGGGCTATTTTCCTTTCTTCTGTTCCCCCCATTTGTGTATACAACAAGCCAGTCATTTTCAGGCTCGAACGTCTCTGTCGACCAATTCTTCGCGGATGTGGAAGACACAGTAATCCATTCAGGGGTTCAGCGGGAGTCTGAACATTTTGCGACATCGTGCCTCGTGGCAGCGAGAATGCGCCTTAACCACGAAATTCCCAGAGTGGCTGAAGCGTAGTGTATCAAATCAGTATTATATGCCTGCGTGGCCCCCACGTGGAGGCTTGATGTGGCCATGTGGTGTCCATACGGCCTACCCAAGCAGGCGTGCCCATAACGGCTGGGGGCGGTCCTACTCGCCCCCCCCAAGCCAGCATCTCGGATACTTAAGGGCCGCGTTTCGACCGGTCAGGGAGAGTGTGACTGGCGAGGTCAAGAGGTCACAACAGCCCGCTGGGCCGGTCCACGTGGAGGTGGGCTGGCCGGTGACCCCAAGTGACCAGCCATAACCCAAGACTGTCATCTTGTGTTTATTCTCTGTGTGCTAGCTCTATCAATAAAAGAGTTTTAGCCACTAAGCTTTTACTACTTCCCTTTCACCAATGTTTAGAGGTTTCCCTTCAATAATACCCCTTACACACATTGATGCTTAATAGTTAAAATAAATAAATGCGCTAGATATCAAAGATCACTCAGCACTTTGGTAAATTACTGTGGCGAAAAAGATAAAAATGAGTTAACGAATAGGATAAGCGGACAGAAGAAGGGGATGAAGAGAAAGAAAACGAAAGGGGAGGAAGAAAAGACCGTGCAGACCGAGTCGAGGCGAGGGCTGAGGCCCAAGGCGGGGGGGGGGGGGGGCATCCCTACACGGGGCCTCAGTCTCCGCCTCCTGAGCCCCCACGACAACAACGAGCGAGGGATATGCAGTGTATATATATATATATATATATATATATATATATATATATATATATATATATATATATATATATATATAAGGCAGGCCCGTCCTAGCCCTTGATCAAAAAGGGAGTTTCGTGACGTTAAACCGAAATCAATATATAAATGCATATACGCACATACATATGTGTGTGTGTATACGACTGTTACGGAATGACTGCTACCATATATATATATAAGATATAAGTGGAATGGCATTTAACTATTATATCTATAATTGTTACAATTCTTAGATGCACAAATTCTTGGTTTACTCAACTATATTATAACATCGTAACGAGCGAAAATTGTCAACGAAACTAGCGCA